GCTGAAAAGCAGCAGCGCCCTGTCCTCAGCATGTTGCTTCCTGGCAGGGAGATGGAGGCATGTTGCAGCCGTGGCACCTCCATTAAAGAAATGGCTGTAAGCTCTCACGTAGAGAGCATGCCCTAAGGAATGAAGCTTCAACAGATGCCAGCCATATACTAATGGGCTGTTTTTATTTTTATTAAGGGCATAACTGCATGTGCGAAACCAGTGTTTATTCTTTTTCATAAGCAATTGCTGCTGATTGCATATGCAAATCCGATGGTTACATCTGCTCTCACCATAATTACACACCTCAATGGCACATCCACTTACGCACTTCCTCTATTTTTTTTATTTTTTTTTAAAAGAGCTTTTCATTCCAACTTTTCTAGTATTCTCATTGGTTTGGCTTGCTCCAGCATTTCTACTATTCTTGTTATTTATGCCTTATTTCCTCCGTTCCTTTTGAGGCATCTGTTGAACCCTGGATGACTAGAAAGCAGGTTCGGAGCTACCCACTATATCCCGTGCTTAGCATGCCTATTATTCTTCTACTAGCATCTTGAGGATATTTAAAACCCTTGCAAACAACTTACTGATGCCGCTTTCACCAGGCTTCTTGGAAATCCTGCAACCAAATGGATTAAACACGTTGAAAAGGAGTCATTAGAAACAAGTAGCTGAATAATTTAGCAGGTGTGTGTTGTTCGGCATCCCTGAATGTCGTCCCCCCGGAGCCTTCTCTTCATCTCTTTATATGTAAGCTATTTTGCAAATAGAATAAGTTTAGCAAATACGGGGAAATGCTGTATGTAGGAGGAAAGGGCCCTATTTTAAAAGGCTGCATTGCATTCAAGGAACTAGGAATGCATGGTCTGCATATTAAAAAGAAAGATGAGTCTATGTGTGTGCTACTTGCTCTCCTGTTGCTTTTAACAGGGCATTTAGATCCGTTCCTTAGACAGGGCTGCCTGAGATTCTCAGGAAATCTTTTGAGAGCTGTGCAGATTTGTAAATCAAAGGCCATCATAGCCTCAAGCTCTGCTGAACTGTGCAGAAGTTACATAGCTAAATCTGCACCCCACCGAGGCAGCTCCCACAATGCTCTCCGATGAATGGATGCCCAGATTAGACTGAGAAAAGGAGTAGCTCACCCAGGCAGAAGACAACAGCAGCCAGTATGCAGGGCACATGGTTCATCTTGCCTCGGATGGGGTCTGGAAAACACAATGCACAAAAGAGCATGTCCTCCAAGCACCACGGGTGTGACAACCTGCGGGATCTCGGCAGGTTGGAGCGGGGCATGCTTGCTGTCATTAGCTGAATGGGGATCATCCAAAAAGGAGTCCATCCTCTCTGCTGTTAATCGGGCAGAAGAAACAGAATGGCTGACTCCCTTTTTAGCATCTGAATGAGTCTCTCCACTGATTTCAGCGGGAGCTGGACTGGGCGCTGGGAGAAGGAAGCTAGAATACAGAGGGTGAGACCAGACGATCTCTAGGGACAGACATGAAACATAACCCGGTGTAAGTAATCGGAAACCGGTTCAAATCTGCAATGCAACAGTAGTTCGGTGCAGGCAAACCGCTTTCAAAAGGGTCAAAACCAGTTTAAGATAAACCTGGATGGATGTAGTATCAGACTTAACCGATTTAAGTTGAATCGGTTTCTTGAACTTCTGTCCCAGATCCCCAGGCCCCTTCTGGCCTTAAAGGGCCTGCCTTAAAGGAGGCACGCAGCCTCAGATCTACCACCAGATAAAGAAGGATTGGTTTCAGCCCTTTATATGTCCTGATTTTCACCTCGAACCTGGGATTCAGACAAGGGCCAGAATGCAAAGTGAACCTTAGCTGAATGCACCGCGCGTGCCCTGTTTTCTACCGAGCAGAGGACCGCGCGCAGCTTGGAGGGTTGTCACGTATCGGTTGTGAAACGCAGAATGACTCGCAATCAAAGGACAGCTCAGTGCTGTAGGAACTCAGAAAAAGTGAGGATTTTTCCAAGGGGAAACTCGGATAATGATAGGCTTGGTTTATTGAATGAATCCTATTTAATTCTCAAGTCACTGGCTCCACAGCAGGGGCTCGGAGGGGCTCTCCAGCCAGCTGCCAAGGGCAGGTTAGGCTTGCACTGTCTTCCAGTTGAATTCATGCCCCCCTCTGCTGCAAGGCTCTGTGCCCCATGAGCGATGTTTGTCCTGGCCTCTTAAAGGTCATGGTGCATTTAGCGCAGAGAAAAGAAAGACCGAGAATACCAGACCCCTACAATCACTTCAGCCCCCACGGAGGCTTTCACAGCTCCCTGCAGAGATTGCAAGCCAGAGCCTCAGTGGATGACGGACCGGTGTTGTCCCATTAAAATCAACGGGCCAACTTAAAGCCACGAAGGATCAGGCCCTGCATTTTCATCACATGCAAGAAGACCCAAGAGCCAGGTCTCTGGGATCCGGGTACAAATTTGTGCAGCCTGTTTCCTTCCCCAGGCTCCCACTGGTTTGAAGAAAGGTTTAATTTGCTGTGGCTTAGAGGTGCAATATTTCTGCCTAATGCTTTTGGGCATACTCTGCACCTGTTCTGGGGAGAGCAGGTTTCAGCACATTGCCTCTGATAAATGATTTCCCTTTCCTAATGCTTCCCCAGTTCCTAAACACAAATAATTGATGCTAGTCTGGTCTGACTATCTCTAAGGACACCACATATCCATGTGTAACACTAGGCTCAGATCCCAATAACACCGGTATAAGCAGGTGTAAGACACTATAGTCTGTGCAGTTATACCTGTATAAAACCAGCTTGTGTGATAACAGGCATTGCTTCTTGTTTGATCCTAACTACATACATTGGAAAAGTGGAAAAAAAACCCATAATCAAACCCAGTTCGCTCTACCTTGCACACGTACTGGCATCTGGATGCTTTACTACTCCATCCAGGAAGAGCACAGACCACCTGCAGACGCCTCCTCAGGCTGACAAAGGGTATTTGTACCCCAAAGCTTGCAATGAAGAATTTTTCCAACTATTTGAGTTGGTCTAATAAAAGATATTGGATTTACCTAAAGAACGTTGTCTGCCTAATCAGACCCAGTCCACTCTACCTTTCAGCATCCTCTCTCTGCCACTGTGTGACCCCAAATACTGAGCAAAATGGACCTAGGGTCTGACTCTCATTGAGCAATCGGATCCACCTGCAAGAGTGAGCGGAAACACTAAAAAGCAGATCAATAGGCTATTTGATAGTCCACGGCATAATTATTCCATTGCTATATGAACCCTGATGCAATCTATCTCCACCTAAATCTCATTATATTCTATTTATCCCACGGCACGGTGGGCTATCGTGTCTCTATGCCATTTCATACTCTTCATCCCTCCACCCTGGCAGTTCCTCTCCTAATCCAGTAACACAGGTGAAATGTTTTTCCCCCCCACAAAGGAATCAGAACTCATGGCAGAGGTGATATCTTTTATTAGACCAACTAGGTGTTTGCAGGAAAAAAAAGCTTCAATTGCAATCAAAGGCAATTTGTTTTTGCAAACATCTAGTTGGTGTAATAAAAGGTATCACCTTTGCCGCGAGGTCTGATACCTTTTACCTCTAGACCAATATGGCTACAACCTGGACACCTTTCCCTCAATAGAGATGTTCACTTACCTGGAGCCAGGTGGATCACAGCCCTCTTCCTGCAAGCGCCCGTGTCCCTGCACTGAGCAATGCTAGAGAACAGGTCTGTCCCGCTCTTATCTCTGCAGGGTGTGGGATGTTGCTCTGCAGAGGGGGTGGGACAGGTGTCCTTTTCTCAAGCCAGGAGTTGTAGAAAAGGGCTAGTTTGTCCTTCCTCTGGAGAGGGAACTAATCCCTTCACAAAACATTTGGCAGAGGATCGAGGGCCCCCAACAACACCACAACTTCCCTTAATATCAGTGGAATCTTTTAGGACCTGGTGAGAGATATAGGACATGGGGCAGGTGGATGTAATCCCAGGCAGGGCTGCTGCATTATGCGGCTTTGCATTGTGTTGGAGAGCATCTCACAAGCAACCTTTACTGGATCCGATGATCTTGCACGGTCCCTTCCAGCCCTCCCGTCTATGAAATCTATGAAAAACTTGCAGAAGTGGCCAAACAGACCTGAGGTCTAGAGCTGAGCCTGAGACAAGGCTTTCCTGCCCTGATAAAAAGGTGGGATTTCCATACTGGCACATACTGAAGACTGTTCAGAAAGTTTTTTGACCAAAAACTAGGTAAAGACAAAGGTGGGTCTCTCTTCAGACCCAGGTAAAGACTGTTTCATTGGAAAATTCCCAACCAGTTGTGCTCTGGGGCGGCCGGCCTGCTTCTTGCACATAGTCCCAGGCCAGATTGATCTTGTAAATCCCAAATTGCTCCAGCATAACTGAGATCTGAGTGTGCCCTGCAGTCTCTGAGCTGGATCGTTAGCTCACTGGACTGGAGCTGCTTTACACAAAAAGGGTCAGACTCTTGCACCGAGCTCCCAAAGCACACACAGACCCTATCTGTGTGCAGGCGCCCGTACAGCTCTGCTTGTCAGGTGTGCCGTTACACAACGTGCAAGGAAAAGTGAACACGTGCATGCAGTTTCCAAGCGTGGCAGGGAACTGCATTGGATTGCACAGACAGGGACATCCACCCCAGCCCTCCTGACACCAGCTGGAGTTAACCTGTGCTGCTAATAAGGTAACATAAACCTACTAAGCAAGTTGAAGAAGCTGAGGCTCCGTGAGGATTTGCACCTTGGGAAGTGTAACCAACACCAAACAATTATAAATAGGACTTGGGAGGACCTGTAGCCTTACCCACCGCCCAACCAGCGGAGCGAGATGGCCCATCTTCCACCAGCTGAGAACAAAGGAGGGGTGCCAGCCGAAAACCAGCAGCTCAGGATGAAAGTGCATGGAGGAGAAGACTCCCCAGGCCTCACCCAGGCCCCAGGGTCCCTGTCTACATCGCAGTCCCTCTGGAGATGAGGGTCTGTGTAAATCTAGCTGCAAAGCCCTCGTGGCAAAGAGGAACGTTAAACCTGGAATAGCATGCATTTCACTGCAGCCCGGGGGAAAAGAGGCACAAAAAAGCCAGTCTTTCATTAAAAAAAATTAAATAGATAGTGATAGAGGCCTTCAGCTTTACTTGGGCAATGAGATTACAGTAGGTTCAACCTAGTCACAGTTCTTGTTAACAAGGGAATGATAATTGCTCCTTCTAACCCTTGCATCTGAGGACCTTTATTGATCCTAAGAACAGACCTGTCTTTGCTTTACTGTAAATGTAGAAACGAATAAGGAAGAATAAGCAGGAA